TGTTGAAAAAATCTATCTCTTCGCTACGCATTTTCACCCCCCGTTTTTGCGTATTTCATCTCTCTTCCTCTTCTTCTGTATCAGCACAGCCGCCTGCGTGCGCTTGTGTGCGTCTGTGTGTGTGAGTGCGTTCTCTGCTTTCGTTTTTTAATTCTTTGTTTATCTTTACGTATAGTTTGTTTTGGGGGCCCCCAGTTTTATTGTTGTTACCCGATGGCGGATGCTCTTTCCCGTTCTGATTTATCGCCTTGTAAAAATAGTGGCCGATTCCGAGATTCCCAAAAGCTTTGCCGTCTGCTCAACCACACACACCGCCGTTAATCAAAGTGCCATAATTTGTTATGACCGTCTATCCCCTCCGGAAAACTGTGAAAAAACGTAAGAGGTATCTTTCGGTATTGGTTAAATGTGCGAAATCCCAAAGATATATATTGGTTAAAGATCTTTGAGGGTCGATTCCAATTGGCTCCAAAAAAAAGGATAAAACTGTTTATTTATTAAATTGGACCATAGAACTATCATCATTTCGCATAATATATGTAAATATGATATCTATGTATTTTATATTTGGTACGATAAAAAAATTAGATGGGGATATCCATATTTCAACACCTCTTAAAATTTAACCTTGAATTTACAAAACTAGTATGTATCTTATAGTTTCAAAAAGATATTTAATTTTCGATTCCAATTACAATACATCAAAATGTGAACTATTATTAAAGCTTGGAGGACCTGATAGGTTAGCATACCTGACATCAAATTATGTTATTGTTGTCAGTTTCGGATGAAATTGGTTTGATTTTTTCCTAGTCTCCGCTCTTTCAGTAAACCACTAATAGATCTATTCACTGCGCATCTTTCCTTTTCCCTACTATATTGCACCTGTCCCGGGTGATATCTTGATTGCTCTTTTCATAAATTTGACGTAAATTGCCTTATTTAGAACAGCGGGCACTTGCTGGCATAAATATCATAGCCGCATTATTTGTTTTCCATACATTCGCCTTTTCCCCACTGGCTTTTCCGCTCATCTGCTCTCTACCTTTGATGAGATTTTCCCTCGAAATAGTTTTCACCCAGTTGTATTTTGGCGCCCGCGTTGATCGGTTGTTCAGTCGGAGGAAAATCGTTCGTTTTGCCTTTGGAAAATGTGCCGTGCAAAGGCGTGGGTTTATTTTTAGCCAACTTGCTGATTTCCACACTCGTCGTGCTCCACAAATCGGGTTGAGAATCGACAACTGGACAACTAATTGCCCATCGCCAGGCTTTAAGGTCTTTCGACAAGAAGGCGGAAGATTTCCAGAATCCGTGGAATTGGTTATATAATCCATGAAAGATTAAAATGGCCAACAAATTTCAGAGGAAGAGCTCCCCAGCAGCAGGTGGAGGTGTGGGAGGGGCATCCAGTGTTTCCTCTACGCCGAGCAATCAGCCCCGGAAACAGGTGAAAAGATGCTGCCGGAACTTCGTCACCTTTATGTGCACCCAGGTGGGCGTGGGCGCCCTGATCGTGTTCTATGCCATCTGCGGGGCCTTCGCCTTTATGCACATCGAGCGCCAGTTCGTGGACGAGACCGGCTGGCCATGTAATGGAACTGCGACAGAATTGCTCCCAGCAGCTGTGGAGCATAACGGAGGAGCACAACGTCGTCGATCGCCGGCGCTGGACGGAGGCCACGAATGCGGTTCTGCGGGAGTACCAGGAGCAAATAGCTGGAGTCGTCAAGCACGGCTATGTGGGCCGAAGTCCAGAACAGATCTGGAGCTTTCCGGCTGCCCTGATGTTCTGCCTCTCGGTGATCACCATGATTGGCTACGGCAACATGGTGCCCCGAACGCCGTGGGGCAAGGGATTCACCGTGATCTATGCCACTTTCGGGATACCCCTGTACATCCTGTACTTTTTGAACATGGGACGAGTGCTGGCCCGCTCGTTTAAGTTCCTCTATCGCTCCATGCACGACTGTACCAGGAGCATCCCCGCCTGGATCGTTTGGACGCCCTGAAGGAGGTGTCACAATGGCGCGAAAGAAGGTCATTGTACCCTCAACCGCTTGCCTGTGGGTCATATTCTTCTACGTCCTCACCGGCACCGTGATGTTTGCCAATTGGGAGAAGTGGAGCTTCCTCAACAGCTTCTACTTCTGCATGACTTCGCTGTGCAAGATTGGATTGGCGACTTTGTGCCCGGAGCCTCGCTCACCACCACGGCGGATGTGAATGCGGCGACGCAGAAGCTGCAGGAGGACATCGCCGCCGATCCTGCCGAGCTGGCCCAGCTGCAGTCCGTGGCCGCCGACCAGCACTCCAAGCTGGCCATTAACTTTGTCTACATGCTGCTCGGCATGGGTCTGGTGGCCATGTGTCGCAACCTGATGCGCGAGGAGGTGCGCTAAAAGCGCGGGAGATGCGCGAGGATGCCAAACTTTGCATGGAGGACACGCGGCTGCGTTTTGTCGGCTGTTGCGGGAACCCCCGGGATGCCTACGAGGACGATTACTACTAGGATAACTAACTGGAATATGGGAGGTGCTCTGGAGCGAGTGATTATTAAGATTTTTAGGAGTTTCGATATGCGCTGCCCTTTAATTTAGAACAGATTGCAACTGTTGCAAATGTATTTTAGAGTTACCCATATTTGGACTTCTGGGTGTATAGGAATACTTATGTTTTCAGTCTAAGCTATCAAGATAGCCATGAATTTATATCTATAGCTTGTAAGAGATATTAACAGAACCCTGTGCCTTATCAGTCAAATTGTAAACTCGTACTAATTTCCTTTTCAATCTGGAAAGCAATTGCAACCTAACCGTCAGGGAATGAGCAACATAAAAAATAAGGTGTTTTTAGGGATTTTTACTTTTGAAGCAAACATTTGTTCCATTTCGTGGAAGGTTTGAGTGCCAGGCGTGTGTGTGTGCTGTGAAAATTTGTGCTGCATTGGTTTTTCCCAACTTTATTCTGCCAAACAAGTAATTCCCATCTGAACCGATTCGATCATGCAGCTCACCATTGATCAATTCCTGCAACTGCAAGAGCGGATCCGTAACTTCGAGGGCATGCTTGGCGGCGGCAGCGGGGAGCGTCTGTGCACGCCAAGCACTTCGGCCGGCCCATTCCGCATCTTCTCCGTGACCGGATTCCAGAACCGGGCCAATGACATCGTCTACTGTCCACCGATTGTGCGCCAGCACTCGGTGCACGTCCCCGAGGACTCCACAGCCATTATATATTTTGGCGGGGATGTGCAGGACTTCCCGGAAAGCATGGAGACGAACCGCGACAGCCGGGGTTACATGAAGTACAACCTCGAGAACTCTGCCATCCTTCTGCGCGAGGCCTTCCCAGGTCACACATCATCGTCATCCGGCCAGTGCGGTAAGTTGAATGTCTAGAATATATTTTTACTTTCATAAATTAAACGATTTTCTCTTGCAGCATGGAGTTTAAGACATTCAGTTGTTTGACAACTTTGTGCGAGGCAACAACGCTGGAGTCCCGGATCATACGCCCATGAACCATGCCCTCCAGCACCTAGAAAAGTGAGTGTAATGTGTTATAATCGGGCTATCCTTATATAACCCTCTTGTACTTCCATAGACTACTCCAGAATCTGTCGCAGCGCCTGATCTCCATACCCGAGAACGAAATCCTCGATCAGGCCGCCCAGGCAGCAGCCGCTGCGGCGGCGGTGGCTGCTGCTGCTGCGGCCGCTGCTCTGACGCTATCCAACGCCACGGTCACGTCCGAGTCCAAACTCACAATCGGCACCGGCCAACGACAGCAGCCAGGAGATGGACATTGATATACTGCAGGTGCAGGAGAACATCACAGTGGATGCGGATGGTGCTGTTATATTCCCGATAGTGGGCAGTGAAGCACCGGAGACGGTGAACAATGTATCCGGCAATAATGGAAACATCAGCGGCGGGGGCAACGATGACAGTAGCAGCAATGTGAACAACCACCAGGAACAGGTGAACAACCAGCAACTCCAACAGCAGCAGACAGCGGCGGCCATAAAGATGACTTCTGCCACAACGGCGCTAAGTGCCACCACCAACAATGTGGAACACTACAACAACGACTGTGCCACGAGGCCGACTCCGGCTGCAACTGCAACATCAGCCTCGGCCACGGCAACATCCACATCCACGGCAACCAGCGACAGCAATCCCCTGTGGTGGCGGGAGAACCTTAACCTGGACAAGTCCAAGCTGGTGCTGATTGGCTTTAGCAAGGGCTGCGTCGTGCTCAATCAAGTGAGTCGCGTTTGGTTCGTTAACTGGTTGACCCACTCGCCTTTACGCCTGCTCCAATTCCTTTCAGAATGTCCGATGAATTCAAATCGGAATGTGAAAGAATTGCGGGAATTCGCTCTCTGACCTTACTAATCTCTTTTCTTATTTCCTTTACAGTTCATCTACGAATTCCACTATCTGAAAACACTGACGCCCGATGACAGCAGCATGTGCCGCCTGCTCTCTCGGATCTCGGACATGTACTGGCTGGATGGCGGGCACGGCGGCCAGAAGAACACATGGATCACATCGCGTAGCCTACTGGAGACGCTCACGCGCATGGGTAAGTGCAGAGAATCCATGTCAAGTGGAATCAACTAACGAGTGGGACTCTTTAAGCAGGCATGAATATCCACGTCCACCTGACGCCTTACCAGGTGCAGGATGATCGTCGACCCTGGATTCGCAAGGAGGAGAAGCTCTTTACGGAGATGCTGAGACGGCTGAATGCGCCGATCACCCGGCACTTGCACTACGACAACCAACCGGCGAATCTGATGACCCACTTCGAGGTGCTTCAAGCCTTCTGCCAGCACGTCCATGCGCTGAACCAGCAACAACAGCAGCTACAGCAGCAACAGGGTGTGGGGATCAGTGAGCAGTCTGCGGCGACGGTGGCCACCAACAATGGTAGCAACAATCTGTTGGAAGCCGGCGAGGAGGCAAAGTGACAGCTGCAACTGCATCCGCACCACCACAGACGTCGCTTGCATGCGATGCGCAAGGGAACCGCCGCCCTCAAGCGTCAGCAGGTGGCGCAGCTGCGCCAGCACCACCAGCAGCTGCTGGCCGCCGCCCCGGAGCTCGCACTGGCCTCCTCCTCGCGCCTGGCTGCGGCCCTGATCTCGTCGGCGGTGGCCCTGAGCGCCTCGTCCTCGAGCCTTGTAAATAATCATCACCACGGCCATATGCAGCAGCCGCCACAGGCGCGCCATCACCATCATCCGGCAACATCTCACAGGCATCATCACCATCACCACCACCACTCACATCACCACTCGCACCATCATCATCAGTGTCGCTCGAAACGCAAACTGCAGAAATTGTATTATACGCTTTGCCGTTAGATCTGTAACTTAACTATATCTATGTATACTTGTATGAGAGAATGTTTCTTAGAACCACCAGCATCATCAGCACCTAGCCTAAGTCGATTCACGCCTGTCACGACCCCTATTATATGTCCAGAGCTTCGTACCTCCTATTTGTATATGTATTTATTTATTCCAATTTTTTTCGTATTCCTACGCATCTCATTTTCGTAATTGTCCCCAAACTGAAAGAACAATCTCATCAGTGCAATAATATACATACATCTTATAATGTATATTGATATATATATATATTGATATGCTGATTTTAAAATCATCTCTTATTTTATACAAACACTCCAATCTATTTATTTGTAATTGAAAAAGATTTTGTGATTTGCGCACATGATATGAACTTCGCAGAGCATCCACTGTAATTGTAGCGTGTCTCAAGCAATTTTCGTTTTAAGTACCCCAAGGAATTTATATATCACCCGCACAGACGCATTAACCTAACCAACCCGAACACACACCCCACAAAGCCCTCTGATTAAGTATTACTTAGCGTATGTAAGCCTTACTTTAAGTTGCAACTGGCAAGAAAACCACAACAAAATGTACTTTACTTAGGCCGATCCTCAGTTTCGATCGCGAACTGGGATCAAAGTATCAAATTTGTGAGACGAGAATCCGCAATAGCAATATTCTCGTCCAGGCATAGTATACGTAGTTTTATCTGATTGTGCTGGGCAAGTCAATGAAGTAGAGCTGTAAAAAATCTATGGTACTATCGATAATATCGATTGTATTTCGATAATATTAATAGTACTATCGATTATATCGCGATAGTATTACAAAAATGGTGCTACCATCGATGTTTTTGCAGCTATAGAATAAAGTACTCAATGCGAATAAAGTGAATATTGCCAAGTCAGATCCGAGAAATAATTGTAATGGCGCGCGTTCCTTAAACTAAATATATCGATATGGAGATCATTACCGCTTCCGCTTATCCAACAGACAAGGCAGAGACAGCAAAACCGAGAGAATCCAATTAAACTTATAGTGCATATAAGGGAATAATTACACAAAATTTCGTACCTTTGTAGAATTTGCAGTTCAAAATTGCTTTAGAGTTTGTCGGTGTACATTTTACGGATTAAATTGCACAATTTTAGGCAAGAAACCTATTAACTAAAAATACAGAAGGCCATACCATTTTAATGAGTATGTAGATGTAAATTAAACATTATAAATGAGAACGCTGCGAATTTGAAACCAAAAAGTTCAGAGAAAGTCAAGAAAGAAAACCCAAAAGAATTCCCAATGTAAATTCTAATGATTTTTGTGGTCTGGTAATAAAATGAATAAGCATACACATATGGATAAAATAACAAGCACGAAAGGGATTCTTCCTGATTTCACAATGTATTTGATAATTCAATTCTTGTAGTGAATTTTATGGATTAAACAACTTGAAACAGCCTATCAAATTCATTAATTGTGAGAACAGAAACATTCCCAGCCATCGTATTTCTTGAAATTTTTTTACTCAATCTACTTATTTTAAAATAAATTACAATTCTATTGTACTCGTACAAAAAATATCGCTTGTGATGCGCCAGACAGCTTCATCCTTGAGATTGGTGTTCTGGGTGCACAGGTGGAGGAGTTGGAAGAGGAGGGCAGAGCCGGGCCGGGTAGATGGGGCATCCCGGCCTGCAACTACGCACAGTGATTGGGGCACCTGGCCCCCGTGGTCCACTCGTCGCTGCCGTCGCAGCAGTCGCACACGTGATCGTTGATCCTGCTGCTGGCCACGTAGACATCCAGACCCCGGCCGGTAATGTGGCGCTTCTGGTAGCGGCAGTAGAATCGCCCCTTGGAGCAGGCATTCGTGCTGGGCTCATCGCTGCCATCTTCCTCACAGTCACAGTAGTTGTCGTTGAGATGGTCGAAGGCGATCTCCTTGGAGCCATCCAGACACCGGAACTTGCCCTCGAAGTTCGGCTTGTAGGCATCGTAGTCGAAGAGCCGGGTACCCCTGAAGGATTATCAATAGGATGATGAGGAATTTGCATTTATAAACCAGTGGGGGTAATCAGCCACCGCACCTGACAATCTTGATGGGTTCCTCGTGCCCAGCAACCGCTGAGGTGGCCCCTGTTGCCGGAGCAACTGCATCCGCCCCTCCGCCGTCGAAGTCGTCCACGTCGCGCTGCTTGCTGCCCAGCGACTGCATCATCTGCTGGTGCTTCCGCTTGATCTGCTGCAGATTCCAAGGAGCCGGCACTCCGGGCAGCTGGTTCAGCGAGAAGGCCTGATGTTATTGTTTATGCACACATTAAACCACACATTGCAACCAAGCCAAATCCTCGCGCGGCTCACCTGATACGCGATGAAGGAAATCCCCACCAGAAAGATGAGCAGCAGGAACATTTTCGACTTCTGCTTGTAAAAGGGCTTGAAGTATATGTTCTCCCGCTTCACCCAAGTCTTGCGCATATTGTCCTTGTCTTTTGGCTCTGCTAATGCTCTGTTCTGTATAAAAAATATGTTTTGTTTACGATGTTGCATTGTTTTTGTAATTTCCGGCGTTAGTCAACACTCTTTCGAACGGACTAGGGTTGTCATTACTCATTGGGAAATTATTAAAAGCTGCGTAGTCTGTATTATTTTCAATAAAATACATATGTATATTTAAAAATATTTTCCAGGGTACTTATTATTTAGTTTCAGTATTATTAAACTATACAAGTACACGGGTGCGTTCTTATAATAATAGTTTTATAACAAATTTAAGAAATCTGAAAAGAAGCCGTTTACAAACATCCAGGTTTATACTTCTTAAAATATTTTTAAATTTCTTTATATAAAATCATAATTGCGCTATTGACGGCTCTTCGGAAACTGAAGAGCATCAAATATTCATTAAGATGATTCCAATTTTAGTTTTTTAAACCAATTTTTTCAAATTTAATCAGTCAGTAGGAAAGCATTAAAATTCCATACCCATGCCGAACTATTTTTCAGATATTAAAATATTAAAACAACACCCCTTTATTTCCATTGAACAAAACACCTTTTTATTTCCTTATTGTATAAATAGTTAAAATTGAGGAATAGATCTAAGATGTCGGTTCTGGTGATAACCAATAGTAAGTCTCGTCTTTCGAGCATACTATCATATCATTCCAGGTAGTTTTATTTGTTTTGTTAAAAGCATGTAAATGCAGTGGACATATGAGCACATGTCGCGCATAGACTGAGATAGGCTTATGAGGTGTGAAGGGAAAATAAATAAATTCGGATGGAACAAGGAATGGATTTGGCAGTCTCGGAGGGATTAGGCGGCCTTCAGGAAGGCCTCATGCCGGTACACCTCGATCACGTTCTCAATAATCTCCCACTGATTTTCGCGGGTGAAGTCCTTAACCAAGGGCTTGTACCACATGGTGGATTCGTCGGACTCGTCGGTGAGCGGCACCTGGATGCCGTAGGTCTGAAGGGCCAGCGATAGACATCCAATGGCAACATGGGTGGGCTTGTACTTGAGGATATTGGCGCTGTGGTGAAAGTCCTGTAGATAGGAGGCAGCGGCCTTGGCAATGGGCACCGAGTTCCACACCTCGGCGCCCACCCAGTCTTGTAGGGTCTTCATGTAGTATAGTAAGTACTAAAATATTCAGTGTTATAGATGGTAAGATCTCTCCTAATACAAAAAACCCACCTTGTGGGCTAGATCTATGTTGAGATCGAAGCCCAGTGTGCGTGTGATGAGCAGCTCGGCCTGGACAATGGCATCCCTCATCGACCAGTACTCATCGTTTAGATCCAGTGGAGCATTACCCCTGTTCAGGGTGCAATATGCCACGTTGATTACATCGCGTATCTTGACGCTTTCGTCGTCCTTGATTTTGCCAGCCAGATACAACGAGGAGGCGGCAATGAGCTGGGATTTTGGAGTGAAAGTTGCATGAGGAGTTTAATTTTGGATGATCAGTATACCCACGAATTCATCGTAGTCGCTGGCCTTGACTTCCCGGAAGAAACGATGGTAGACTATGGCCGCACATGCAGCCGTCAAGGGTTTCATTTTCAATTTGGCAGCGCACTCGAAGATGTACATCGGCACCACACCGGGCTTGTTCAGCTTGCTGTGGCATATATCTTGAATTAGGCACTGATATAGGAGTTAGGATCGGATCCTTCAAACTCACCGATAGTCGATGGGCTTCATGGTCTGCGCCTTATTCGACTCCACGTGCTGCTGCAACGACATTACATCCAAAACGTTTTTCATACTGCTTATCCCAGAGAGCAAACTGAACTGAACTGAATGAAAGGATGAAGGCGGTGGTGTTATAAAAGCCCAGCGAGTTCGTTGGCACCCGCGGAGCAAAATAAAAGCAATGGACTGGTTGGGAAATGAATGTGAACTGAGACTGAGACCACCGAAAAATCGAGAGGTGACAAACCGGTTTGATTCGACTACAGCTTTGTAATGGGAGATATGATATGCAACACGATCAGGAAAAACTAACGGGGCCTGCGGTACGTCAGCTGTTCGATTGGGGTTCAATTAAAATGGTGGCCAGGTTTGTTAGTCTCGCAGCCCCAATCCGACTCCCACTCCACAGTGTCTTTTCAAAAATAGTACCTACAACTAACAGGCCAAAAAACAGCTGTTAGCCTAGACAGTGTTGTTAAGGTAATATTCGCCACTCACGAGAAGCTTTGTGAACAATAAAATCCACGGCTTTAAATTATTGCCAACGTGTGTTGACCTAAAAATGTTCAATTGTTAAATTTAAACTTATTTACCTTAACGTGTCAAATTTACCAGTTTGCAAACTAAATTAGTCGTTGTCCAACACTGGCAATCTCTTACAAAAACTACACTGAGAGAAATATGTTTATATAATTATACTCAAATGACAGTTGTTGGGTAGAAGTTAGTGAAATGTACAGTTTTTCTTGAGATAAATTAATTTTTGTCATAACTTAAATAAAACCATTTACAATGTGAGCACTAAAAAATAGTCAGTCTATAGTATAGACTGCTTTTCTTAAGTGTACGATAGGCAGTGTGCGATTACCGAATATCGATATCACTCGATACACAAAATTGATACATCTCCCTTGCCAGCTGTTCCGCCTCCTCACCCATCGCCACCCCCTCGGGCATTATCATTGCGAAAACCAAGTGCAACAGCAGCCAAAAACAGCAAACGCGACGCAACCAGTGGAAGATGGATCAATAAAGCGTCAGTCTGCAACCCCCGACCGCTAATTGGATTCCCTTGGGCGCCGAACAGGAAACGGAAATCGAGCAGCCGACCAGCGAGGCCTGCGAATCTCTAATCGCTCTTCGCTTGCGAGATACACAACAAAACAAAGAGGCAAAAGGGTGAGGATGAAGGCAAACAAGGCGCGGGCTGTGCGACTCACCAGCTTGACGGAGGATGTGGCCGCCGTGCCGGAAGATGCGCCCTTCCGGGCCCGCTTGCACCTCCTGTTTGCTCAGATCGAACGGGAGTTCGAGCAGCTCTACCTGGAGAACCAGACTTGTGAGTACCTTAGATAACCCAGCTTAAAACCATTCTAATAACAGTTATGCATAATCCCCATTACAGTGCAGGAGAAACTAGACATAGCCACCGCCACCAAGGAGTCGGTGACCCAGCAGGATCAGCGCACCGCTGCAGGAGGATCGCTTAGCACTCAGGCTTCCTCCGTCGCCTTGGCCACGCCCGCCACTCAGGCGGATGAAGTGGGCGGCAGCTTCCTGGCCGCTGCATCCAGCACGCACAAGAGCCTGAAGGCCAAATTGAGCAGCGCCACCGGCGGCAGCAAGGCCAAGGCCAGCAACAAGATCAAGGCACAGACCAGCCGCATCGTGTCCAGCTTCAAGGCACCCACAGTGGTCAGCACGGTGGTGCGCGAATTCGGCGGCCACAAGGACGGCATTTGGCAGGTGGCCGCAAAGGCGGGACAGCCCATCATTGGCACCGCCTCCGCCGATCACACGGCCTGCATCTGGGGAGTGGAGAGCGCCAGGTGCCTGCTGCAATACCAAGGACACGCCGGCTCCGTTAACTCCATCAAGTTCCACCAGCAGCGTGATCTCGTGCTTACCGGCAGCGGCGATGGAACTGCCCACATCTGGCAGGCAGCTGTCAACTGGGAGGTGACCAAGTGAGTACCTTGGAGATTATAAGAAACTCCGTCAAATTAACAAGCAAAATTTGTCTGTTCTTTAGGAAGGGCCATTCGTCAGAGGAGGAACTGGATGACAGTGATGAACAAGTGGAGGATCGCGATCGCGTCGATACATTGCGCACTCCGCTCTGCGAGTTTTCAGGCCCTGGAGGCCATCTCTCAGTGGTGGTGGCCGCCGACTGGCTCTCTTCGATGGATCAGATCATCACGGGTAGCTGGGATCGGACTGCCATACTGTGGGATGTAGAGACGGGACAGCCACTACAACCGCTCACAGGCCATGACCACGAGCTGACCCACGTGTCGGCACATCCCACCCAGCGTCTGGTGGTCACCGCCTCCAGGGACACCACGTTCCGGCTGTGGGACTTTCGAGAAGCCATTCCGGCGGTCTCGGTCTTCCAGGGACACACGGAAACGGTTACGTCCAGTGTGTTTGCACGGGATGATAAGGTGGTGTCCGGATCGGATGATCGCACAATCAAGGTGTGGGAGTTGCGCAACATGCGATCCGCTTTGGCCACCATACGCACAGATTCCTCGGTCAATAGACTGGCGGTGTCCAGTGGAGGGATTATCGCCATACCGCATGACAATCGACAGATCCGGCTGTTCGATTTGAATGGGCAACGTGTGGCCCGTTTGCCTCGAACCAGTCGACAGGGCCACCGGCGTATGGTCTCATCTGTAGCCTGGGCGGAGGAGCCGCTGCTCGACTGCGACCTCTTCTCGTGCGGCTTTGATCGACGCGTTTTCGGCTGGTCCATTGTCCTGCCGAAAGACAATTGAAGGCGGCTGAAACGGAGAGCTGCTCCAAAGGAATGAGGAGGTGCAGCCCTGCGAAATCCAAAACATCTCTCGAACAAACGCATCACACGGCGATGCTCATGCTTATATGTAACCGTTTTTCATAGATCAAGTATTATGCAGACATTGTTCACGATGTTCTACTATCTAGGTGTCGCCCTCTGAGTGTAATTATCGTTGCTTTTTGCCAAATAGTCGTGGCATATCGTGCTGCACGAACTACATATTATCATTGTTATAGCATATACATGCGTATGCATTGGGGTTGGGATGAAGGGCTCGGAGTGCAGAGCTTCCGAATCCTGTTCCCATTTTATCTGTGTTTACTACCATAATACATATTATAGATGTCTAAGGCACTAACGTTTTAGCAAACATGAATAAACATAATCAAGCACCCGATACATTGCTGGGTGTATCCTATAAGCTGTCTTTTAACCTTCGATTTCTAGTTCTATCACATTTATGGGCGTTCGATTGGAGACAATCTTCTTCAGACAAATGAGATATAGTAATATAACTATCTGGTTTTTCTGAGTACATATATTTTTGTTCATATACTTTATATACATACATGTGGTATAACTTATTCGTATCTAAGGCAAAGTAGTTGTAACGATTAAAACATATATATTTATAGTCCCACGCCCGATTCGTGGCTACAACTTTGGAATAATGTGGCAGCTGCTCAGAGTTTTACGAACTTCAGCACCAGCAGCCCGACGAGAATGCCCACCTCCAGCAGGATGATGAGGATCAGGATGATCTTGTTGTAGAGCACTTCCCTGCCTAGCTTTCGGATGATGACCCTCGACTTGGAAAGATCCTGATCGGCGTCCTCCAGGCGGCGGGTGGTGCGTAGTAGCGATTCCCTCTGCTCGCCTAGTTCACCCAGCACCTGTTGATCGGTGATCCTATGTTAGTTACCTCCAAAAATGGCACTTTTTAAATGTGTTTACCTCCGCTCCCATTGTCTCCGTTTCGATGGCAATCTGGTTGGACCTCTGGATACTGTCCGTCGTCCGCTGCAGGACGTCATAGGTGCTGGCCGAGAGCTGCGCCTGCCTGCGATCCTGGTCGCTGCCACTGGGCAGCTGGCTATAGCCGGCGTGGGACATGATTTTGGCCGGGTTTTTCAATAAATTAAATGCGTTTTTGTTTCAACAAAAAACAAAACAAAGGCAGGGTGTGACCACATGCAGTGGAAATACCGAAGTACTTTTGGAGTATAAGATGCTAACGCATTTTTTTTGCCACAGTGCCACCTGTTGACCCTTTACACTTTTTACAACACTGATTTCAGTTTGAATTTAAAAAATTATAAACAGATGATCGTGATGTACTTAGTTTATCATGCCTTTTTAGCGCTCTAGTTTGTACTTACATTATATTAATGTGCCTCTATAAATGTTAAATTTGAAAATTACGATTCTTATAAGTTCAAACCGTTGGATTGTAAATATTCTTATTGTATCAATCAAATAGGAAATGATAATTATGCTGCTTGATTAATGAATTACTTGAATGACAAATAAAAACCGATTAGTCAATTGGCAATTTCCGTGTCGGACAGGAGACAGTCAAGAGGCCTCTTAACCAGAAATAGAAATGGTATAAATTTATCATTCCCATATTGGCCAAAGATCGATCGACTCATCCCCTTTCCAGTTGCTAAGGCCTCGAAGAGGGTCGATTTATAGTGCTGACAAAACCAAAACAAACAACTGTCAATATCAACTCGACTTATCTAGACCAGGGAATTACTTGGTTGAAGCGTTATTAATTTAAATTGATAATGTTGCCGGTGGTGGCTACGCAATGCGGACATTTGTACATATGTAGCACTCGAGGATTTCGACTTTAGTACGGGTATTTGTCGATTTCTGATTTCTGATAACGACCCCCGATCATACATAGTTGGCATGTATGTGAGTGAGTACGCTATGGGTATGGTACGGGAGAGACTCGGTTCGGATCTTATAGAGGGTGTGAGTTATAGAGAGTGAGAGATATGGAGAGCTGATTTGCGATTGCGAGGTTCCCAAGTCGGAGCAGCGAGTGCCAAATTTAAACGCAGTCGATCGCTGGCGGTGAGCAGACGTGTGCTCCGCTCGATTCAGGTTCAGATTCAAATAAAGATTCTACGGATACTCTCGCTCGGCAACAAAAACAAGTTCTAAATTTATCGCTTGCACTCGCGACGGAATCGAATCTGGTGTCTTTTTCGGAGCTGTAAAGGTAAGCGAAAAACTCGAAAACCCCATCGGGTTCAAGGCGATCTTGGGTTGAAAAGAAGGTGTACCAGGCACGTGCTTTGGCAGCAGTGAGTATCCGTAATTCATCTCAATTTGCCTGCATTTTGGCACGAGATGCTACCTAATGACAGCTACTAGTTAGCTAAGTGAGATGTGGGGTGGGGTGGGATCACCTGTCATGGGACCCATTGTGCAAACACCTGCCCGAAGTCACAGCTAAAGTCAGAGCGCCAGATACCTGGCTACCGTAGCGCTATCTCTTTTGTAAGCCCCCGAGTATCTCTCAGATACTCAGCTACGCACCGTACTTTTGCAGTGTGAGTGTTAGTCGAACCCATATAAATATAATACCTCCGGTAGTATCTGTGACTCGCGCTCTCCGACAGAGTCGCGAGTTTTCGAGTTTTATGCAATCATATGGGAGGCTATCATGTGATCTTCGGGTCTCGGTTCTGCAGTTTTGCCTAGAAAAATCTTCCGCTGGAATGGGAACCCAAAAAGCTAAGCTCAAGTAGTTGCAAATAGCGCACAATAAATTCCAGTCGATTATGATTTATGGGTCGCGCTATATTTTTTCCTTAGCACTTCTCATCGATCAATCAATTTCTGCTGATTAGCCACAGTCCCAGACCCGGTTTATGAATGGAAAATCTGAACTGTTCTGGAAATCTAGCAGTTTCACATCCTAAGTATAGTATTCGCTGCACAAGTGGTCGTCTGGAGAATAAGCTTTATAAAGCCCAGCACTCGAGTTGCCGATCTCCAGTTACGTAACTCCATGCCTTATCGGCATTGGGTGGCGAGCAATGCACTTCAATCGGAATATTGCAGAATTTAATGAGCTTCGCCTTTTTCTTGGTTCTTTTAAAGTTGGTATAACACTAAACAACTTTTTAGAACTGTTGATATAGTATTCCAAACGTACAAAAAGTTCATCAAGGGAACTTTTATAAATGGTAACCTTGTTGAAGATTTTTTTCCTATTCATTAAAACTGTGTATCTTGGAATATTACGAGAAACAACGCCTACTTAGTGTTACCGAATTGATTAGGTTGCTTCCGTTTTATAACTTCAGTCTATTTTTAGATCCCAACCATAAGTTCGATGATAAGTCCATCGCGAATAATGGTATTTGTGACGCAATGAAAAAGTTTTAAGTTGCTAGGCCTAGTATCTTTATTCGCCCAGAAGCAGTTGAAGAAAATGAATTGAATTGACAATTGGCGTTAATAAAAAGATGAGTGTGGTGGCCTGTTTTTGTTTCTCGATCGCCTCCATTTGTGGATTCACATTGAATTTGTTCGTTTACTTGGCCTGCGAGTTCTTAATTACCCGCAGTGGAAAAAATGGTATTGCAATAAAACTGAGCGTAAAAGCACAATAAAAAGTAGAAGTTATATTTGTGCTCGAATTAACAACAAATAGCGGAGGCAGAGCAGCGGACGGGCGAGCCAAAGCGGAGAGCGATAAAGAGAAAAACAAACAAAACAGAGCAAAAATTTAACGAAACTTCGAAGTGTAGCGATATTAGCCTACGCACACATGGGCGTGCTTTCGCTCCGCTCCCAAGAAAAAAAGGGGGTTGTCAATGTCAACCGCTCGCTGGCTCTCTCAACGCCTCACCCCCTCTCAATAGGCCCCACCGCCTGCCCCTCGTCTCGATTAAATGTGATTAAGGCTCACCCACAACTCGCGTGTGTCAGTCAGGAGCGGCAACAACAACAGTTATCAAATACAGTAGAGCTTCATTCATGACACCTTAAAACCTAGCTAGTGACAAATTTTAAAACATATAATTGGTAACAAAACTTTGAAAAACGGATAATAATAATAGAAGAATTGTCCAGCATTTAAATTGGAATATCTTCAAGAAATTTAAATTCTACATAAAGAAAAAAACAAAAAACATGAAAAAAATTTAAAAGTTAAATAACACCATTTATGGAACTGGAAATGATTGATAATGTTTTTTTTGTTTTATTAGATATTACCCAAAAAAATTTTATATTATTATTTGAGGACTTCAGTTTAAGGACCTTTTCAAATTCGATCAATCGAAGTTTACCCGTATATCGTAGAAGACTCCTACACACATGCATGCAGGCTAGAGTCCACTCACGAAAGTGACCAGCAAAGCGGAGAGCAGAGGAGAGGAGAAAAGAGGAGAGGCGAAGAGAGCAAAGTAAACGGCAATGGCAACGTCGGTTAGCGCTTAGTTGTTGTTTTGAAGTTGAACTGGTTTACAGTTAGCAGTTGGTTTTCAGGCGCGCTCAGTGTTTTTTTCGTGTTCGAGCTGTGCGTGTGAACTGTGATATTGCGATATTGGGCAATTGCAATTGGAAACTCGAATTTAAGCTGAATTTATTGAAACGAAAGTGCGCTCATTGAATCATTAAACAGCATTTGAGCAGGCGAGTTACAATTGAATTACCTCAGGTAATTTACCTGTTATTTGGAAAGCAATCGGGTTTTGGGGGTGTTCTTGGGAGCGGTATTACGAGTTTCGAGTAAATTCTTCGGAAACGTATAACTAACGATTTACTTAATAAGTGTTTCGTTTAGTCTGTGTTCTAAGACAATAACGTCATTTGTCCTCGGTTTCTAGAACTGTGGTGTATTGAATATTGTAAAAACCTAAAGTCTGATATAATATTAATGAGGTTCATGTCTGAGCTAAAGCTATATCCGCTTTAAAATGATAAGCGTCTCCAGCTAACCGTATGCTTATAATCATTTAATTAGCCCAACAATGAATTATAAATATAAACGACCTAGTCGAGTTTTCCATACCATGAGAAGAATTTGCGGTTATCCAGGCAAAGACCAAATAAAAATAACATTCCGATATTGTGGGGTTTTCAAATTCTACAAATTTCAAGTTTCTAACATACACTGTAATACTATATACAGGTCAGTACTCCACAAGTCAAGGTCCTTTATAACCTACAATCAGCAATAAACTATTAACCCGTTGACCTTGGCTAAAGCCAATTATTGAGACAGTAAAAACCTAACAATGGCATTATAAATTTAACAAGTAGCCGCGTTATATTGGAGAGCCCATTCTATAGGGATTTTCCCTACGCTTCTGTTTCGGCACACGCCAATAGTAATATAATAATCCAATAAAAGTGTACAAGAACAATTGCTCGATAAACATTCTAAAA